CCGCCTTCGCCAGGAATCGAACTACGGACCTCTGGAATACCGGTCCAGCGTGCAGAACCACTACACCACGAAGTACGCTAGGAAAGTGGGAGAAATACCTTATATACTCTCCTTTTTAAAGGGCGACTAGGGTTTTAGGACCTAGTCGCCAAATCCTGGGTGTGGAGAATCATCATCCACAACCCTTTTAGTTCGGGCGCCACTGTAGAGACATTAGGATTTTTTGAAAGCAGGCAAGATGAAAAATTAGCAGCCGCCTTCGCCGGGAATCGAACCACGGACCTCTGGAATACCGGTCCAGCGTGCAGAGCCACTACACCACGAAGGCCGCTAGGAAAGTGGGAGAAATACCTTATAAAGTTACCAATTCTAGATTACATTAAGCATTAGGTTCAATCCGAAAATTAATATATTTTAAAGACCTTTTTTTTCTTTTCAGAAATTTTTTTAACAAATAATTAGCATATTCCGACAAATTATGTCAGATCGTAACATATTATACGCATAATTATGCATAAATTATTAATTATTGATTATTATTTTGAATTTCATCATCATCATTATTATTAACTGGTCATTATTATTAGTATCGATTATTAATATTAATTTTATCATTATTATTTATTATGCTATTATTATCATAACATTATTACACCGTATTATTATATATGTATTATATAATATAACTTAATTTAATAATTATGTATAATTATATTACATGTAACTGTACACTTTAAACAAAATATATCATTGCGTACATGCTATTTAATAATATATAATAGCATTTAATAATGTATATATTGCATAAAACTATTTTGTTATTAATTTGAACTTTTCCAACTACCTTTGTTCCGATGAATTTTAGCTTTCAGAAGCCAAACAGAAGTTTATCTAAACAATAAAAGCAACAGATAAGAGGCATAACTTGATTAAAAATTTTACTAAAAGCGATGCTTTTTAGTACAATTAATAATTTACAGATACTAGTCACCGCTAATACAGATTGGTTGATGGACGCTTCTTATCCCAGAAAATATTTTTACCAGGCAATTGCCATAAGTATCCTCTATAAATTATGAGTTCTCTCTCGCTGTTAAAACTCAAACTGATTTTCATTTTGGTGAAGGCCTACATAAAGAAAGAGAAAGCGCAGAAAAGAATTGTATAAAAATTATATGTTAGTTAAAAATAAACTCTATAATTTAATAGATGAATGAAGCTCCCTAGCAGGATGGCTACATGTAGGTTTCCTAAAGATACCAGGCTGCAGAGACAACTAGGCAATATATTTGAAAGCAGGAGGCGTGAAAAATATGCTACGCCCTTTCCGGTATGTGAATTACAGGTCTTTGACTGGTAGCCAGACGTGCTTTCCAATCACACCACGAAGGCATGCGATAAAGTGGGAGAAAATATCCGTACAACTTACACATAGAGAGAGGTGCATAAATTGAATTGCGTACAGTCAGATTATTAAAACATTGATAAAATCAGACAAAAAATTTGCTGTTCGATGAATAATGCTCAAATTGTCTCATTGCATATTTATAGAGAATTAGGAAAAGGGGACTATAAGCGTTACTTCCTCAAATAAGGATTCTATACACGCATTTTTAAAATAAAATTTCTCCGCAGAAAGTTATAAGGTTTTATAAATATAAAATCTTAATTTTTATATCGTCCCCTATGAGACAAATTCCAATTAGTAAAGTATTAATTAAAAAGGTAAACATTGAAAGTTTCATGCATTTATAAGCAAAATTCGTAGAAATAAGTATAAATAATACTAAATGAGTCCAACTATAACCTCAGTAAGGTGCCTGTTTTATTCAATACGAGATTATTAGCTACCAAAACTAGCAACTTTTTTGTTGTTTTCCTCAAAACAAAGAATCTTCAATTTTTCACGCTTTGAATGAATTATTTCTCTTTGAAACATATCAGAAACTTTTACATACGTATAAGAGCATGGACCCTGTTATGTATAAAAGCTTTTTTTTACTAACTCGAATTTTTACTATGTGGCGTCATATCAAAATTTAGACTTTAGAGTATCTCACCCGCTTTTGTATTTGTAAGAAAATTACAGTTAATATCATACGCTGTGCGAAATAATTTACATAAATTTCTTTACCTTAATTTGAGAAACTTTGTAACTGAAGATACATGTCTTAGATCAATATTTAAAGAAATAAAACTTAACTCCCTGGGTTACAAGTATTTTACTGTATGAAATTAAATTAAGTAGAGTGGTATTATATAAAAATTATTTTATTTTTAGTTCTTATATTCCATAAAAAGATCTGGAAAAATTAGCAGTAACGGAATATTAATAAAAGTTAGAGTAAGGAATTACTTCAAAAACAAATCAAATGAATCTTTTATTGTACTTTTAAGAATTACTAATGCGGCGATATCTTAAAAAACAAAATAAAACAAGAAAGAAGAAACATAAATATTGAAGATGTAGGTAGCTGGGCATCCGTTTCACCGGATGTCTTACGCAAGAGGTTTGCAACAAATATTTCGTGAAAATCAAGCAGCAATTTCTATTTTAATAGGATAGTTAATTCACATACAGAAAATAGTAACAATCCTTTTGAGGTGTTAAAAAAACAGCGCTTGACATAAATGAAAATGATAAATCCACCATTGCCGATTAATTGTTATGACAGTTAGTGTAAAGGGCCTTTAAGTCAATGGAATCCAAATTCTTCATGATTCCATGGAAGCATTCTAACTCTCCTTATAGCATGAGGCATAGATATATTGCATCTTTAACCCACAAAATTGCAGGCGTCCCTCCCTCTCCCCGAAAAAAAAAAAAAAAAAAAAGAAAAGGTACATTTTACTCAGTGGCGAAACAGTTCTTCCTGGCAACATAAGAATTCGTACCTGACAGAGAGAACAAGAAATGCCAAGTTCACCTGAGTTCAATATCTTTATTTGAGATATAGTTTCTTTCTCACTTTTGGATCAGGCGGAATGAATAGTATTAATATCATCTGTGCTTATGGCTTCTCAAACATCCAGACCAGCCACTCTGTGTTTGAGAATTCATCTGAGAAATCACCTACGTCTCATTACTATCACATTACAAAAACTTTGACATTCATTTGTTACAGCAATGCATTTCAAAATCTGTAGAGCAGTTTGAACGCATACATGACACAAAACTTGTTGTACCGTGTAAAGATCACCTGTGGCATAAAACTTGCGCCGCAAATGATCTTGTTTTATAACAGAAGACACACAAATACAATGCCTAACATATCGAAGTTCGAGCATTTCTGTATCAGTTGATGTCTGGCAGCTTCCCGTATTGCCAGAAATAGCAAATTTGCAAAGAACTAGAGTCTATTTCTTCTTTCTGAAGAGCGCACAGTTACGTTTTCTGATAGTGCAAAAGGATAATTTGCTTCAGCCATCTCTCTGTCAAATCCATTATCACATCTTAAATCAAGACTGGAACAGGACCTTATGTCCCTGTGGGAAACTAACTGGACACAAGAGCTAACAGGCAGAAGGACATTAATTTTCCTCCCGGTGTCCTCAAGGAAATTAACCACTACAGGCAGAGCAATGACACATTTCCTGATGGCGCATGGCGCTTTCGTAGCCTATCTGTTTTTTTTTTTCGGATTGCACCTCACAGACTAAGTTTATTCTCGGCTTAATGAATTTAGGTAAAGGTAGTGATATTATAAAATGAGATTTGAAATATTCCGCACAACAGATTCTGTCAACACAACGACACAAAGCGGGGATGGGAAATTCTGGATGCTGTTTATTTCAATCTAAAATATTCAACACAGCCTGTGTCTATATTAAAATCCTATAGAACAGGGGTCCCCGACACTTTTGTCCCTAAGAGCACATTCTAGAATATCTGTTGGACGCAGGGCACCATTTAGTTTTTTAAGATGAATTTATAGTTAGATAGATACTTGGAAATGAAAATATTAATAAAACATGCACCTAAAAAAAGAGATCGGTCGAATTTCGCTTTGTGGTGATATCTGCGCTGGACGCAATTTCTATTTCATTAAAAATGAGAAAACTTTCACATAAAATTTTATTGAAAATTAAAGCATTTTTATTGTTATCACACAGCGGCGGGTATACGTTAAACAATCGGCGGGAGCCATGGTACCCGTGGGCATAGGGTTGGAAACCCTGCTATAGAACATACTTGGAAATGGGATATAAAATTTGAAACACAATGCTTCTTTAAAATAATAACTGAAATTAGTAATACAAGACGACCAGCAAAAATAGGGCAGAAGTAATTCACAAAAATCTTGAAAATTCACAAAAAGTTGAACTCTTACCACATATTTTAAACTATATTTTCAAAGTTAACACCAAATCTTACGAAATATTAGAAGTATTTTAAGAACGTTATTGATTTATTTTTATTTGGTTGAACAACAAGCATTCCGAAAATTCTGCTTTATGAGTTTTGTACTCAAAAAGGAACATATGAATTTTAAAAGCCCAATATTTTAATTTTAGGATAAAAGATTATTTAGTGTAAAAAGAAGACTAGCTAAACGCAGACATAAAAGAAAATCACATTTGAAGTATTCGGTTTAATGACTTCAAATTTGTTAATGTTAGTTTCGGAACTTAAAAATATCCAGTTTCAGTGAGAAGTTATATAGCTGAGAGCTTAGCTTTCGTTTCTAGTCTTTGTGACGCAGATAATCTTTTGCTGCGTATAAAGCACAACCATTTGTTTAATTTACTGTGGAAGAGGATGTATATAATTATCGTTATGTATTAGTCTTCTATTCATCTTCCAGCTACAAATAGTGTATGAAATGCGTTCATTAACTATTTTAACTACATATTATTAGTGAAATATATATATCATTAAAAACATGGGAAATTTGTAATAACTATAAAATGAAAGTTGCAAGTTTATTACTCTTAAAATTAAATAATTGGGCCAAGAACAAAAACACCAGACTGCATAGTTTACATCTTAAAACACTTACCTCAACATCCACTACAAGAAAAGCACGAAATCTCAAGAAACAGAAACCTGCTTGAGCCCTAAATGTCACATTTTAAAATACTAAGCTAAGATTAAATGAAAATCCTCATCTAAAAACAGTGTTTCGTCGAAAACGTCTGTCAGCGATATAGAGTGGTGGATATCGAAGGGAAAGAAGTTCCCGTGTGTCATAATCTTCGAAATCTGTTGCAGACACTTAGTGGAAAAAATCTGATAAAAGATCGTTTGTTTCTCTCTTCTAGCCAGTCTTTGGCAATGTCTTTCAAACATATTTTATTTTGGCTGGCACAAATCAAACAACTATTAGTTTCACGTGCTTAATTTAGCGCAGAAAGAGAGTTTTAATTTATTACATGCGCAAAATATTTGTAAACAGTTAAAGCTGAAATGGAAAATCTCTAAACCCTGCTATGTAAGAAAGGTTTTTGAACAGTATTGTGAAAGCAAATTTCAATCATTCTTGCTTATTTGCCAGCGTAAAATAGCTGTGCACTTTATTTCAGCATTACCGGAAGAACTGCATGTTCTTCGCACATATCTTTTAAAATCACCAAAGAGGGAAGCAGAATTTGCGTTTAAAATATAAGCATTTAAATAAAGCGGTTAAAATAACTTACGAATAATTCGATCACATAAATGATATTATAGATTAAACAGCAAAAAATATTTCTAGTTTAATCTATACCAATGTTCCTAATGATCAAATATCTTAATAATAATTCGATTTGGAATTTTATAGCAATTTTCTAATGTATTTATATTAAGGAATATAGTTTTCTTCTACTAATGAAAATTTCTCTTTATATCATCGTTATATAGATCTAGATTTAGTTACTGTTTCAATAGGAAAACTGAAAAGTACCTAGAACTCTGGACTGCGATGCGAAATTATCAAAATGACCAGCAGTTTTTTAGTTATCCATACTCTAAAATCCATCAGAAACTTTAAATTTTTCCATTAAATTCCATTGAACATCCTTGAAAATTTCTCAAAGCATTTCTTACACCATTTAGTAATGAGAGAAACGCAAAGACATCGGATGACAATATACGAATATTATGCCCAGTTATATCAAACTAGTGTGAAATTTAAGAAATAAGAGAGGGAATAGGAAGGAATACGTTGTAAACTGAGTTGGCAGAAGTGCAGTCAAAGATAAGTAGTTTTCTTCCTAAATCAAGAGAGATGGCAAGTCTACTAGCTGAGGCAATTCGAATTCTCCATGCAGCGTTTACCAGCTAGTCACAGAAGCTTTGAGAAGATCCACATAACAGTGATATAAAACATTATTAATAAAATAATTTAATAATAATAATAAATAAACTGATATGGTAGAAAAATCCAAAAATTTCGCGGTTAGAAGATACTCCTATTTTTTGACACTTTCTTTTGTTACCAGAAGAAAAAAAAACTTTGAAGAATAAATCATTATTTGCACCAACTAATCTAGAAACAGTCAATCAGCCAGAGGTAGTCGTTTCATTCTATATCGATTAATCGGTATAGTTTTGGTAAAATGCATTTTTTGTGTTACTGCACATAATTGTTGTGGTGAACTATGTTTCCATAAGTACCTACAAGCATGGCAGCTCTTGGAGGTGAGCAAGGTGCAGCAGAAAACCCTCTGTAAAATAAAATAAAATGTATTAATTTTGAGTTCATTTTTAGATTTTATATATTTTAACTTTTATTTTATAATTTCCTTTTCAATATTCAACCTTTGATGCTTAAAGTTGGAAGTAATTGCCCAAATAGTAACTTTTAAGATTAATGACACAAAATTGAGCCAGATATTAACATGTAGAACGAGGATCTCATTAGTAGGGCCTACCTATTAAACAGAATCCGCTTTAAGAGCCTTAAGAATAAATTTGTATATGTTATCTAAAGTAGCATAATTTCGCTTTTTTTTACTACTCCTGAAAGTAAAAATATGTTTCCAGTTGTATCAATATGTAAAGTAGCTATTGATCTGGAAGCTCAAGCTAAGTCCTGCAAAATTTAATAAGCCATGTTAGCGAGTTATGCGTCTGAAACATTATGACATTGTAACAAAGTTTTAAGAAGATTATAACATTTTTTTAAAATTTAATCTGAACTTTTAACATAGAAGGCACGACTTCGGCTACAGAAAAACCCCCACTTGTAGCGATGTAAACTAAGCAATAACAGTAAAAAAATTTTAAAGCTGATAAAGTAATTTAAAACTGCAGAATGAAAAATCCGTATACAAGCTAAATCAGTTAATTTTACCGGCCTGCAGTTTTAAAGTATCGGTTGTGGCTTTAAACCTACGCCTTTACTTTTCTAGGTTTAATGTATCGGCGCGTAGATTTAATGTATCGGCTACGAGAGAATGCAAAAGCCGGAATAATCGCCTTCAGTTAGAGCTGGCGAAAATTCTAACAGTTCTGAGCGAGTGCCAGAAACTCGCTCTGTCTAAAGTTCAGAATCCTCAGCTTATAAAGCTAATTTTCATTCTGGTGAGGAATACGGAAAGAAGTTATAGCAAAGACAAAATCATAAACTTACAAATTAAAATTTTCAACATATGCAATTTATATTTTTTATTTGTAATGGAATAGTTTTGTAGAGTCATTATATTTCTTTTAAGCATGAGATATGAAAAATATGCAATGCCGCCTCCAGGACTCGAACCTGAACTTCTTGAATACGCCCCGAGTGTGCTACCGTTATACTACGAAGAAGGGACAAAACACCTTATAATTTAATTATTTTCTTTTAATAACTTATAAATACATATTTCATTTAGGAATTGTTTAAATGCTTAATTATTTGCCTTTAATATCTTACAAATAAATATTTCTTTTAGGAAAAACAATGTCTAACAGCTTTGCAAGTAAAAACATAGTCCTATCTATTTAATTCATCATAAAATAGTAGAATGAACAATTCTTGTAAATAATTATCGAGTAAATTAATACATATAATTATCAGATTTGAGGACTGCGAAGTGAGTTTTAAACGCAAACAGAAAAGCAAATTTTTGTTTACAGTTGTAAACAGAAATTATTATGTGCAAACAGAATAGTGAATAAATTTATTAAATGATAAAACAACGTCGTGGAATTCAACACACTAAACAAGTTTCGTTCAAAACTTCAAACCTTTCCACATCTTTCGATTGCCATATGCAAGAAACAAAACTAAAAAAAAATAATTAACTAAATTAAAATTAAATGAAGACATTCATAACTTCACGTCATCTGAAATCCAACATTGTCCACCAACAACAGCTTAACCTTCTGCAAATATTTATAAAAATATAATATTAAACATATATATATATAATCATAATATTATTAAACAGTAAAACTTTTAAAAACAACACAATATTTCAAAATTAAATTAAAAAAAATATTCTGGTTACACTAAATTTGCACTCTTACAATTACTGAAATTAAGCTCTAGGTTTCTCACAAGAAAACATACAGCCAGAAACCACAACCAAATCAAAATCGCGCCAAATAAAAAACTCTCGACAAATTTGGCGCTCACCCCGATTATGGAATATTAACCCTTAATGTTACCATCATTCGAAAAGATTTAACTTAACAGTTTAAAGACTCATTTGGACGCCATCCTGCGTTACCCTCTAGACTGCGTCTGGCGATGGAATTTCCGTAGCTGGGAAATTTAACGTAAACATCACGCTCGGAAGTGCCACCTATACTATCACACAGCATATGTGGCGGATATTACAGATCCATGCATACTCGGATTGTACTTTTTAAGGAAATACGATTTTTCCTTAGACTTCAAAAACAACAAACTGCTTTTAGCGTCTGAGGACATGACTATCCATCCTCGAAAGGGTTCCTCACCTGGAAACGCCGACGTCTCATGTGAAAGATCGTACTCAGAAAGCTGCCGAAATCATACTAGGGTCGAAGAAAAACACCAGACTACCGGCTATTCTCCATCCCAGATGCTCTTCGGTCGAGACAGACCTTCGTCTGCCTTGTGACCACCTGTTTGGTCGCTTGTGACCACCTACGGCTGCGCCTTCATCGCCTGAGGAATACATCCAAGATGTCTAGGCCCGGTTTAAAGTGATGCACTATTCTCCACGAAAGCGAGTCAGCTTGGCGACGGAGAAAGTGAAGACCAGATACGACACGAGAACTATTGGACATAGATTCAACGAAGGAGACAAGGTGTTGTTGTAGAACCCGATTCGACGAAAAGGATCCAGTCCTAAATTACAGTCACCTTAGGATGGTCCTTATACTGTCTTAAACAGACTGAATGACGTCGTGGTTCGGATCCGTAAGTTTTCGACCTCTAAACCTAAATTTCGTTACGTCAGGTTTAGGTAATTACTATGGCTATAGTACGTAGTGTAAATAATTGTAAATAGTGTAAGATCATGCTCCTTTTAGTTTCTAAATGTGTATTCGATTTAACTTTTATTTAGTATTTGATAGTATTTGATTTGTTTAAGTTAGTTATTGCATTTATTATCCACGTTGTTTATTACTGTAATGTAATGTTTACTATTGCATTGATGCCTCAGTTGTAAGTTTGGCTTCCTATCCAGGGATTGTACTGGCCGGAACGTGCAGTCCTTGGGAAGGGAGCAGTGTTACGGATTTGGTATTTAAATAGCTAATGTTAGTAGAGTTATAAATAGAATTGTTTTATTCCTCGTGCAGTGGAGCGCGTTACGGAGAAAGCTAAGCCGGAAAAATTAAAAATACAAGAGCACATGCATTTAACGTTTAACAAATAAATATCTCTTTTTGATTTCGAGAAATTTCTAGAACAACTTCGTGCGTAACTTAAAAAGCTTATAAAAAGGAGGAAAACATCTCAATTCGGTTAGTTAGTTGTTTTATCAGTTTTGTTTAGAAAACTGCTGTTGTTGACTGTAGCGAATTCGCGGACTAGCTTTCTCTATTTTGAATTAGTTCTCTTGAGCGTTTGAGTAGTTTAAAAGATAACTACTGTGAGAACAGTGCGGCAGTACTGTAGGCTGTAACAGTGGGCTGTAGGGTGACTAGGGAAACTTTATGATGCCATGTCTGGTCAGGAAATCCTTGGCGAAAAAGGCGGTGTGGCTTGGAGTATTGAGATTGTGTCACTAATACTGAATGTATTTTGTATTTTCATTGTATAGTATTGTATAGTATCTACTGTATCGTATTGTATTGTGATATTGTATCTACTGTATCTACTGTATCGTATTGTATCGTGGTATTGTATAGTATTGTATAGTATCTTATATCAGTTGGCTTTTAGTACAGGTTAAATATGTTAATTTTTATTCATTCTAATCTTTTAATTAGCTTTTGTATTGTATTGTATTGTAATATTGTATAGTATTGTATGGTATCCTATATTCGTTAACTTTTATGCAGGTTGAATATGTTATTTTTATTCCTCATAATCGTATAATTAGCCTTATCGCATGTTTTTCCCACAATACCACGTGATCAATTTTATTGTACCGCTATTGCATTCTGTTACTAAGTGTGGTACGAGTCCTGTACCATAATTGGTAGTAACCAATGTATCGACCTTTGTATTTCTTAAACAAAGTTGCATGCTAAATATATTTTGTATAACATATTCCTTTTTCCTAACTATTGTTGTACTGTAGGAATTGAATGCGTACCGAGATCAAATTATATTGTACGCTACCTACTTCTTCTGTATCACATCACTACCTGCGGTATTGTAACATGACTTTGTCATAGCGAATATCTAGTTTATTACACTGACTTTCAATATGTTGCTTTGTCAAATATATGTACTTGGCTATGCAATGTATCCCGATCCAGTTGTTAGTCTTCTGAATTAAGTCGAATTCTGAATGCTTTACGCATTTCCCATGTATCAGTACTTCCAGTCACACACTGATGGCTATTGTATTCTTTTATTTTTATTTCTTTTGCTATATCCTCTGTGTATTGCTGTAATCATTTACATTCATTATGTCACTATGTTCTCTGTTTTTATATTATATTTGTCATTAAGTCTAATTCTACTGTCTATATTTTACTCATTGTATATTATTGGGCTGCCCAACATCAGACTGTACTTTAGCTTATGTATATTTTATATTTGTGTGTATTACACCTTTGTAAAATTTTTGCCTATTGTCAAAACTCGCTCTTGTTTGGCCCTGTATGCTGTTATGATCGTTTGTTGGGACTGTCTTTCGTGGGAATTTGGTCTGTTGGATTGCCCCCGGGTTGAATTTGGCTCTGGGTTTGGGCGCCCGGTGCGTGGCGTCTTGTGATTCCTCTTTAGGCTCTAGCTATAGGTGGACGTGGTGCTATACCGATTAACCTTTTGCTAAAGGGACAGTGCCCACGTCCTCCGTTGCTTATCGCTTGGAGTATTTGAGATAATGGAGCCCCCATGATCCAGGGATTGCTGGACGGACGCAAGCGACTCCTTTTCTGTGTCTGAGGCGGTCAATAAATGAAAGTTGAATTTCATCAATTGGCCTAGAAAAATTCTCTCTCTCTCTTTTTTTTAATCCTCATGTCTTGAGGCTTATCTTCTAAATACAATTTGATAAAAAAATATTCTAGCAACAGTTCAAATATTCTATATGTCTTAAAATCTTTTTAAATCGAAACAAGTGCAGAGAATAAGATTCCGATTGAAGGTAAAATTGACATCACCGTTACCTTCGGAAATGAGACCTACCAACACTTAAAATAATGAACACACAAAAGAAGAAAAAGGAACCTAAAAAATAAACTAAATATTTGCCAAGTCAGCGCAAAAGAATGTTTCACTGGAGTTACTGAGCCATAAGCGAAAATGTTTTTGTACGGATTCTTCGTGTGGCCTCAAAATCACGGTAACTTTACTTCACTACGAACTGCAGTCACAGAGAGTAGTATACTCATTCCATTTACAGGGCTCTCAAAAGAGTCCCGTATTTTTATTTTTCATCACTACCTCCCCATTCTGGGGGTGAGTAATTTGCGCGCCTGCTGTCTTCCTTGGATGTGGTAGTCGTTTCTACCTGAGTGCGATGCAAAGGAAACGGACGAATGTGAAATCAAAGCACTTTTAGGACTTCTGTACATATGTGAACATATGTGTATATGTGTACACTGTGTATATACATATACACAAAGGATTGCTTTTCATAAGGATCAACGAGAGGCAAAAAGCGTTTCACATTCAAAAAAATTCTTTCTGTTCTAGTTAACGACCCTAATTCCTATCCGTCTTTACCTGCAGCCTTTAGTTCTCTTGTTTCATCAATAGATGACGCCAGTAGATTAACTTCTGTCCAGCCATTCTTATCTCATTTATTTGCACTTGAGCTGAGGTTGATGGTTCGGTAAACTCATCGAAACTAGTTCTGTGAAAATTTGCAACTATAACGCTAATTTTTTTTTAAACTTCTAAATAAATGTTTGTTCGGCGTGTTATTTTAACCTAAATTATAGACAATGATGTCACTGATATTATAAGGTATTTCTCCCACTTACCTAGCGTGCCTTCGTGGTGTAATGGCCAGCACACTGGGCCGGTATCCAGAGGTCCGTGGTTCGATTCCCGGCGAAGGGGGTTGCATATTTTTCATCTTTTCTGCTTCAAATTAACGTAATGACTCTACAACATGGTCGTTTAGTGCTGTCAGACTGAGGACTGATAACTGCAAAGAAGCTGCAATACAAAATGCTTTTAAGAGTATTGATATTTGTAGAGAAAACGAAAAACTGTAGATCAAACATTCCCTTCACTGTGAGGCTCAAAACCTTTTTATTCCCCCCTCGTAGTTTCAAGGTTATTCTGCAATTTTCAGTGTTAATTAATAAAGCTACTATGCAATTTTTTACTTAAGAAATTAACAAACTACAAAAATTAAAAGAGTATTTTAGGAAACTGCTTATTTTACTCACATATTTTACATGTTTAAGAATGGTTTCTTTAAAAGAGATGTGACCTAATCTAAGTGTTACAATTGAAAGCTCGAAAGATATTGCTTTTTGGAGTGATTTCGCGAATCAGACAGTCATGATCGTGCTACACTTACTTAATAGAATAACAAGGATAAAATGATCTCCTTCCTGCGTATAAGTGGAAAATAGAAGAGACAAGAATTTATATGTCATCTTTCGAAAAGTGCTTTCCATGAACATATGAGCTAGCTCACGGAACAAAATATTCTACTCTGTGATGTATAATGACTGATACTAATTCATAGATAACAAGCCGATATTTAAATTCTATAACTGCACTTATGTTTAGAGATAATGTTGATCTTCTGCGGAGGTGTCGCCTTAGAGAGTTGATGTTTGCCAATATTTATTTATTAGAGAAAGGCATTCGAATCCTGGAATTTCCTGATTCTTGCAAAAGATTTGAGATTCAAAAAATTGAATTTTATCACTTTTATGTATGTATAATTTGGAACTTTCGTAATCTAAAAACCTGGTGAATGTTTTAACTCAAAACCTTTGATAGAATCGTTTTATTCACTTCCAGTAAAAGTATTTGTTAAAAGAGAACTTCCTTGTTTCAGTTTCAGAAGACTCGACTATTACTTTATAGCTGCGCCAAGTGCCACACTTTTCTGAAGAGAGTTGTGTTACTGTGCATGAATACTGTATATTGTGTTATCAGTGTTAATCCTTGAAATAATTTCTCCTCTCTTCACTTGATTTCATTTTAAAAGTTTTTGAAAAAATATAGAAATCTGAAGTGCGACTAAATTTTTTTTAATGTGATGGCTTTCGAGTACCGCCTCTGTTAGCTCCTTCTATATTCTGATGGAGAATCCTCAGACGGATCTGAGGGTCTCATATCCCTCTTTTCCTACAACTAACGTCTCAATAGGAGATGCTACTCGATTGTATTTTAAAGGCTCTCCATATTTAAAAATCATTCTACTTCACTTTGCACGGCCGAAATGATTTCCGATCCAGAAACGATGCTGCATGGAATTTGAACTTCATCCCAGTAAAAAGAATCAATGTATCTATCATACCACTGCTTACAGCTGGTACAGTAGACTAGACGGTATCTCATGTTATACTGGACTGATAGCAGTTAAAGAAAAATGTGTTACAATTCTTAACGCTATATGTATTACAAAGAAATATCTTCAATAATTCATAGTACATATTACACACAAAACCAAATAAAAATAAATGAATATATTATGAAAGCGTATCTATAAAATTCAATTCGAATTTTTAAGTAACAGTATTAGCCAGAATCAAATCTGGCAAGCACTTTCCTCTGATAATACTGAAAGTAGAGAAGCTATCTGGATAATTAAGAAAAAACAGTCTCTTATCAGGCGTATAAATGTCTGGACAATCGCGTATGCTTACCAGAGAATCTTTCCCGAATACATACATACTCGTTTTGTCGAAAGCAAATCAGGTGACTGAACAAGACTGTAATAAAGTTTTAGTAATTAACGGTTAAAAAGAGCAGATAAACAAATGCAGCAGGAGCGAGAAAAAGTAAGTGAATAATTAAGTAAAGAAACACTAAAAAATAATCTGAAAGGATTCAGATTTTAATGTAGCGTTTGCGGGTTTGTTTATATTTTTTATGCTGTCGCCGAGCTCGCAGATTTACTAATCTGGGCTCAGTTTTGCGAACATAATTTTTATTGTCTTTTTAACTTTATTATTAAAAATCGATTTTTCCCTATTTACACTGCATAAAATTCAGCAGTAAAATCGCAAAATTTTTAACAGCAGCATATATTTAAAATTCCGCATAGGGTGTTTGGTACTTTCATACATTTTTAATTTTTTTTTTTTTTCAGTTTTCTCAGTTTATCCTATCAATGTTCAGTTTCCTTAATAAGATGACCTACACAACTTTTCTTGGTATTTTAAATTTTATTTACTAAAAATCACTTTCTCTACACTTATGCCACATAAAATTCAATAGCAAAATCACAAAATATTTAAAAACAACGTATTTTCCAAAATTCCCGATAGAATGCTAGTTGTTGCCATACATTTTCTTATATTCGTTATATTATTCTTTTAAAAATAATACATAAATGTAACTCTGAATGGCAACATCTTTTATTTGTGCTGCTATAATTCTTTTTATATACGCTTTTTAAAAATAATACATGGCAATAACACTGGTGGCAACATTCTTTTGTTTGAAATAGGAGGGCTATGACAAAGAGCACCTCTAGTGCTAATAATTAAATAAAAGATAAAGAAATAAGTGAAAGGAATTGATGTGTACACACAGCATTGTAGTTATATAAATAAACAGTGATGAAGTTGTGACATATTGCTAGTGATTGAACAAAATACACATTATAAAACAGAGGAACTCAGCAAATGGAACTGAGCACTGATTACATTATAATCCTGGCAGATAATATACGAAAGTGAAGATATTATACTTCAAAAGTTACAAACAGGTGAATTAAATTGGACTTTACACTTATAAACGCAGAAGGAGCAAATTTAGGAATACGTATGTACAAGATATTTCATAGATAGCAGGGAAAGATATTCAAAACTGACAAGACAACTAGCAGAGAAAGATATTCAGAACTGACAAGACAAAATCGCTGTAAAAAAGTGTTCGTAGATGCCGTTCAGCGAATGACATTATGCAAATAAAAGGTCAAATAAATGCAGAAATACATACGGTACTAAAAAAGTAAATGGCAAAGAGATTTTGACAATGACTTTGTTAAATAATGCAAAACAAAATTACAATAGTGGAACCTAACGGATAAACCACAGTAAATGATTCAATACTAATGAAATAATGGTAAGGTATTCTTACTATAGTAATAAATTTGACAGAATGGTAAAGAGCACGAGGGTGGTAATACCAGTGATTGTTTACAGTCGTTTAAGCTGTAATGTTAGGAAAAGAATTGACTATACTTACACATTCTCGTATGCATTTGACTGCAAGAGCATTTTCTGCCCGTGCATCAGCAGGTTTGGAGAGATGAGGACGAATGATATTTGGGCAACAGATAAGGTAGAAGTCAGGATCTCCGACCATTCCACAAGTATGCTAGTCATTATCACAAAGGTCGAACAGTTGCAGATGGCTAATAAATGGGCCATGACCAGTTACATACTGAGTAAAGTTCGAGCCACAGATTAGTTTTTTTTAATAATTTTAGGGAAGAATCCTTCTTACTGTTGTTTCAGTGTAGCAAAGACTGTCATTACTGGTCTTTTTCTAATCTTGTTTCTAAGTTAAAGAAGTTTTATTTTGTTTCCAATTCTGCGATGAACTTAAATGAAGGCTGTTAACTACGGCCATTGTTTCAACAATTTATTATCACATCGGATTTCGGGAGGAGTACTTCTATTTTCCTTTTAAATGAAAACGCTTGGGGTATTTGAAACAAATATTTGCCCACACCCATACCTTTTACCCCATTACGAAATTTCGAGATTAAACGATTTAATGTTTGGGATTTCGATGTTAATTTGATCATCAAAATATGTTTTCGCGCAGATAATTTGCTGCTACTGAAGTATGCTGAGTAAAGTTTGGGGAACTGGATTGCAAAGAAAATATCAGAATCGTGCTAATATTCGATATTAATCGATAATATACGCAAAATAATCTTAAATTTCAAATACCTGTCATTGAGTTTCAGATATTACTTTACTATAATGCACAAAAAACAGAGGAGGAAGTAATCCATCAGGAAAATATTCAGGGTCAGCATACGGTTTTGTACAAGCGACTGAAGCCCCTTTCGAATCGCTTGAAATGTTTACATTATCTAAATGGAAAAAAAAATCTTCCCTTCAAATATTATCGGTGTTTTTATCGCCGCGGGGAGATGGACTATTTCAAAATATTTACTTCAACAACGGCTTGTTTATTGAACTCCGCAATTAAATATGGTAACACGGAAACAGCTTAAAAGCTTTAAAAGTTGTAAATGCATATTTGCATAATGATTTGTAAGCGCAAGAAGGAATAAAGAATATTTTTGTTGTTATATTTCTGATTAACTGATAAATTTTTGCTGAAAAATTAAGAAGGAAACTTAAGCTTTCAGAAACTGAAAATGAATGGATAACTAATGCTACAGTTGACAGTATTTTATAAGTTGATAATTAATTAAACAGTTTTAACAGAGGTAAATCATATGCAGTTACTCATATTCCGTTTTCTAATCTTTTATAGACTATATTTTGATGAAATATTATCACTAAAACTTTAAAGAAGTTAATTAATTAATAACCTTTAACAGTTAACCACATAAGTTTAAAATTCCATTAACTGCCATACCTTCAAATTTCCTTCTTACATTTTCAGCAAAAATTTATTAGTTAATACAAAACTATGAAGTGTAAAACTAAAAGTATTTCTCATTCCGTCTAAAGCTCACAAATGATTATGTGAATATGCATTTACAGTTTTTAAAGCCTGAAAAATGCACTCCTGCTGTGTTATCATCATGCGATGATTTGTAGGTGCTTTACATTTTTAAATATTTCCGATCTTTTTAAACAGTCAAGTCTTTGAACCGCTTTATTTTCAATGACGATGTTTTGTACTACGATGTTTTCGTCTGCGATATATTTGCCGTGATGTTTTCGGCGTACCCCATTAAGTGTATGATAGAAAATGCTGTTATTTTAAGTACTCAAATGTACTGATGTATTTCACATCATTCAGTGCGGGCAACAAGC